TAAACCAGAATTGCTTTGGTGTTGTTGCTCCCTGCTGCTGTGGATTATTTTAAATTCTGCTGAAGTTGGGGAGAAAGAATTGCACTGTAATTCAGAAACTGACATGTGACGATGTGATGCTCGGCTCACATTTCTTACAGATGCTCCAAATTCAAAGAAAAGAATGTTTCTCTGATGTGGGAAACACTACTATTGTAACACGTGTCTAGTCTGACATGGGAGGAATCAAACTGGAAGAGCAACTAACATCTACCTATTCTGAGTGCCAAGTTACAGAAAGTGCTATTTTTTCTCCTGGAATAAGTTCAGTCTAAAAATACCACAGTCTCATATTCATTTCTTCACTTAGCATTTATTTTTAAATTTTTAGATTTCATGTGGGTTAAGGTGGGACCCCTCCTCCTTCCAAACTGAGACTCCTATGTACTGAGAAAGCCCCTAAGTCCATTCAGTTTTCTTGGTGTCATGAGTTTCTGATGATGCTGTGTCAGTAGTGTGAACTTACTCTGTGAAGTACTGTAGGTTAGCGATGCCCTCAGGATGACTGGGGTAGACAGAATCACAAGCCCCCAGCTAGCAGGATGTAGAACAGCTGGACAGCTTACTGCATCTTCTAGGTCCACAGGCTTTACAAGCTAGTTCCACCTTTGACATCCTGTGGCTCTTTTGGATGTCACGACTCTCAACTTGAAAGGCATAGGTCACCCCAGTACATCTTCTGGGAAAGTATCATTACTGTTGGTACAATAGGCCAAAGAGCGAAAAAGGATTTAGGATAGAAGTACTAAGAACAAGTTATCTTTGAGTAGTTTTGTTGGATGGGAATGGAAGTTTGTTAAAGAAAGCCTGACACTGGTATTTTACCCATAGATTGGGTCCTTGGTCAAGCAGAGTCATGTTGCCTCAAATTTGAGTCCATGATGATAATGGTATAGTAAAGTTAGAGGGATCTGATTGTCTTTATTTTGTTTCTTCATGAAGAGAAGGAGTTTGAAGAAAAGGAAGGAAGATGAGCTGGGTCAGGCCCAGAGAAGGAAAAGGGGGATTTGTTTTTTGTTTGGGGGTTTCTCACAGAACAGTGTGAGGCAAAGCTGTGTGTCTATCTCACAAGAGGTGATCTTGGGGTCCAAACCAGGCTGGTGAAACCCACAGAAACAGCTGGCCTGAACAATTGGGAGCTCTTGGTCCTCAGACTGATAGCTGGGAAACCAGCATGCGACTGATCCAGACCCCAGGAACGTAGGTGTCAGTGAGGAAACCTCGGAAATCCATGGGGCCTCCTGTGGTAGATTAGTACTTATCCCTAGCATAGGTGTGGACTTTGGGAGCCCATTCCACATAGAGGGATTCTCCCTGAGCCAAGACACATGGGGAGGGGGACTAGGCCCTATCCCAAAGAATATGACAGACCCTGAAGACTCTCTATGGGAGGTCTCACCCTCCCTGGGGAGCAGTAAGGTTATGTGATAGGTAGGGTTTTAGTTGGGGGGAGAGAGGGTGGGGAGGAGGGAAGGGAGAAGGAACTGGGATTGACATGTAAAACAATCTTGTTTCTAATTCAAATAAAAATGGGAAAAAAAGAAGACCTTGCTTTGGGGCTCCTATTACCCAATGAAGTTCTTCAGTGGAATGACATATCATATCATATCAAAAATATGCATATAAGTTGGAGATAATATAAAAAAAATTTAAAAAAGCAAAGAAAGGCGGGGGGAGCCCAAAGCAAAATGGCATGGAGTGTCCTTAGTTTTCAGCTGTTTGCTTTTGTTGCCCATATCTACTCCAGAGAATTTTTTTCCAAATAGATTTCTAATATATTCCACTTTATGGGGTGAATCCACTTCCACAAAAGCATAGTGCAATCTATTTTGGTTTAGAGAGATGAAAAGTATTTCTCTCTAAATGACGTACTCATAGTTTGGGAATGGCTTATATAAGTCCAATACTAATGTGTAGCAACAGCCTATTTAATACTCATTTACCAAGTTGCACTCAAGTTTTGATGACTGAATATTACCAATATGAGAACTTAGTTATCTCTCACCATATATATATATATATATATATATATATATATATATATAT